TGAGCATGAGTATATAGTTGCATGAGAATGCATATGAGTATGAGTATATTATTGTATGAGATTGCATAAGAGTATGACTATAGTATTGCACGAGATTACATATGAATATGTATATAGTATTGCATGAGATTGCATAAGAGTATGATTATAGAATTGCATGAGATTGCATAGGAGTATGATTATAGGATTACACGAGATTGCATATGAGTAAGATTATTGAATTGCACAAGATTGCCTATTTGAATGAAGTATAATATTGCACGAGATTGCATATGAGTATGACACATATTATTGCACGAGATTGCATAAGAGTATGATTATAGCATCGCATGAGATTGCATATGATTATGTTTACAGCTTTGCACAAGTTTGTATATGAGAGTGATGTATAGTATTACACTAGATTGCATGTGAGTAAAGTATCGTATAAGATTTCATAATGAGAAAGTTGACTTAAGAATTTCCATCGAATATGATTGTCTTGTTGTACTAGAAGCTCTATTTATCAAGTTATGTGATGAGAATGTGAAAGTATGAGAATACCTGTTATATGGTCTATTAGCATGATCTTATTTGTAAGCATGAATTGCTTGTTAAGTTATTTGAGAAGTTTGTATGTTGATGAATCTATGTGATCAGTCTTATACATGTATGAGAATGCCAGCCGATATTATAGGGTGCAAGCATCTAGAAAGAATGTGATAAATCTAAAGATGATTTGAGATGAGCTTTTTGTAATAAAGAAGTCAATGTTTTCTAAGCAAATGCTAGAATGCTTTACAGGGTTGAGTGTGGTTATACTTAGCTTCGTGCTAACGTGTGTTTTCTTATTTGTATATGTGTTGCTTGCAAAACCCATTTCAGGTGGGCCCAGCAGTGTGAAGAAGTCGAGTTAGATTAGTCTCATAGATAGAGATATCTAAACTCTAGTTTGATTGATGTTTACGACTATGGATTTTAGACCTTTTGACTTTATGTTTTGAGGATGATGTAGACTATTTGGGGTAATGTATTTCCCTTTACGTTTTCAGTTTTATGATGAATGCCAGACTTTTACTTTATTTCTAGTTTTACCCCTTAGCCTGTGCAATCACCACGGAGTGGTGGTTGTGGCGGTGACACTCCCACTATTTATTTATTAGTTATTTCCGCTGCTTAGTGATGTTAATGTCTGTTTAGAGTCATAATTAAGAGTTAGAAATGTGGGGTGTTACACTCGTGTTTATGGTATGTTGAGCTGGATGAAATGATTTGGTCTATTTCCCAGCTTAACAGGCACCACAAATGGTTGATTCGACTTTCATCTTGGTTAAACCACGAACACCTTCTATCTTCATTAGTTTATCAAGTAGTCTGTAACTCAGATGCCCCAGTTTTTGGTGTCATAGCTCAGCTTCATCTATGCTGGTCCTGCAACAGAAGATATGTTAGTTAGAATATAGCAATTGTCAATTGACCTTTTACATTCCATAACGCATTGATTTGTTTTGTCCAGGACACTGCAGTTATTTTTTGTGAAGCACACGTTCCAGTTTTGGTCACATAGTTGACTTATACTTATGAGATTTGCGTGATGTCCACTGACTAGCAATACTTTTTCTAGTTTTGGCAGGCCAACTACATTTAGCATGCCTATGCCAGTGACCTAACCTTTAATACCGTCACCAAAGGTAACTTCACCTTTGCTTGCATTTACGTTATTTAGAAATTTGGCATTTCCTGTCATGTGACGGGAACACCTGCTGTCAAAGTACCATTTCTCTTATCTTCCTACACTTTTAGAGTAAAAAGAGACAAACGAAATATAGTCAGTCTTTTAACCCAAATATGTTTTGTAAAGGGTTGGATGTTATTGTGCCTGAACTTCTCGATTCTTTGATCCTTGTAGAAGTAGTAGCATTCGGGTCTGGTATGTCCACGCAACCTGCAATAATGACATACGGGGTTATAGAGTTTGTATTGTTGCTTGTTTGACCTTACTATACCACTGTTATGTTTCGTTGAGCTGGATTCAGGAATGTCTCCTGGATCAGGTCCAGACGCTTTGACAAATACCGTTTTATCCTTTGAGTTGCTTCTGGTGAAACCCAAACCGAATTTTGCAGAAGTTTTTCTTCCGGAATCAAGGATTTTGTCAAGTGTTGAAGTTGTGTCCATCATTTGGATTTGTCGTTTGTAGGTGCTTAGTTCCTGCTTCAAGGTCTGTACTTCCTGTTTCAGTCTCTCTTCTCGGTCAACCGCTTCTTTAAGAAGTACATCCCTATCTGCTATTTGAGTTTGGTACACTTTACTAGCATTTGTTATAATCCCTATCTCACTAGTTAATCTACGATTTGATTTTCGTAGGGCTTCCCATTTGGGGTACAACTTATTAAACTCAACTTCAAAAGATAAAACATTTAATTCTAAATCTTCCGCTGAGACATATTCATCACCCTCTGAGTCAGCTCCTTCATCAGGTTCTGAACAACCAGCAACACGTGCAGTAAATGCAACAAAATTACCGAAGATTTCTTCTATATCAGATCCAGTTGTTTCAGCATCAGGTTCGTCGTCACTCCAGGTAATGGCGGACATAGATTTTTTGCGTCTGAGATAGGTGGGACACTCCGCTTGTACATGTCCAAAATCTTCGCACTCATAGCATTTGATTCCTTTATTATTAGATTTTTCTTTAGACTGCCCTGAACGTGAGACAGACTGCTTGAAGCTTGACGAGCCTGCTCTAGGGCCAGTTTTGGACAATGTTGCTCCTCTTTGTGGATTTCTGTTGCGCGAATTTTTTGAAACCTGTTTCAATATTTTTGAGAACTGTTTAGTAAAAAATACAACAGTATCATCACCTGGTTCGTCTAAGTCAGATACAACATTATTTTCTTCAGCGAAAAAGGCTACATTTTTTTGTTGTTTCGTGTGATCAGTTAAAATTTCCATTTCATAGGTTCTAAGATTTCCCATTAACTGAGTAACAGTTTTGTTCTCCCAGGCGTCGTGTTCCTGAATAGCCATGACTTTCATTCTGAACCTCGGTGGTAAGGACCTCAGAATTTTTTTAACACGTTTTGCTTGTGGGAAAGGTTCACCGAGGACCATCGCACGATTCGCGAGTTCCTGTACGCGTGTGTGAAAGTTCGTGATGGTTTCATCTTCATTCATCCAAAGCTCTTCAAAGTCGGACTGGACCAGTTGCAGCTTTGATTGTTTCACTGACGTAGTTCCTTCGTAAGTTGACTCAAGAGCCTTCCATGCACCTTTAGCTGAATCAATACTTGGAACTATAGAAAACTGACTTTCATGCATAAGGGAGTAAATCGTATCTAAGGCCTTATCGTTATATCCAGCATTAGTTATTTCAGTTTGGGACCATTCGGTTTCTGGTTTAGTTACTCGCGTTCCATCATCACTGGTATTGGCTTTAGTCGTATGAGTCCAACCTGTCACCACGGACCGCCATACTGCATCACCCTGAGCTTTTAGATGTGTACGTGTGCGAGCTTTCCAATAAGCGTAGTTGTCGTTGATTAGCTGGGGAAGAACCTTAACATGATCCATTTTGTAAAACTCAACAACCCGTGAGATTGAACAAATTAACAGAATAAAGAAAAGCAATAAAAGCCGCTGAAAGCTTGAGTTCAAGAGGCACGGAATAGCCAGATCGACAGACTAATAAATTAAGTCCGCAGGCTTTGATACCAATTGAAATTGCACCGTGAATCTTGAATAGAAGATGAACCTTAGAATTCTACTTGATTTTATGTTATGCGAAAATCCCGTTCATTAATTAGATTATTTAATCAAATGTAAATAACGAAAATTGAAAGCATAAAATAAAACAATAACACAAGAGAATTGTTACGTAGTTCAGAGCGCTTCTCCTACGTCTGCGGGGCAACCCACGTCTGCCCAATCCACTATAGATGTTCACGAAAGAGTATTACAAGAGGTAAGTACAAATGGCTCTCAGCCTTTACCACTACAACCCTTTTAACACCTATTCAGGACTGAACCGTGCATGCCATAGCAATCTTCAAGCGAAGCTTCAGCTGTACCAGGTACTGTTTGTGCAGTCCAGAATTAAACTAGAATAATATAATCAAAGAGATAATATAAGAGCTTGTAAAATATTCTTTCACTTAGAATAACAGTTCTCAATTTGTCAGTTTCCAAAAAGGAATAGCTTCTTTTTATATTAACTTTTAATCCACCAGATTTGATCCATAAAGATAGCATCCATAATCTTCAACAAACCACATCCACACATTGTATTTTGAACTTACCTCGCTGTATGCTCTGCTGATTTTCCCTTCTTAAATTTCCAATAAATGATAGCCACTTAAAATAATCTTATAAGATAGGAAATGGTCCAAATAGATTTAAACTAATCTTAAATCTAATTAAATTGAAACTAAATAAATTAGCCAATTAAGATTTTAATGTGTACTAAACTTGTACACTTACAATTTCCATTCTAATTCCGATTCACATGTATGAACTAAACACACCATTAAATTTCCATCTCTCATGATGTGATTAAGGCATGCAGCGCAAGTGGAGTACGTACTTCAACATACAAAACTCCTATCTACTAATTAATCCACTCTCTGGTTTTAGATGGAAAAATGAGTTGAGATCAGATGAGATGAAGAAATAACACCAACTTTGAACTTTATACCACAATTATATATATTGAACCACACTCCGTATTCACCCAAATTCATTACTGCAACGAACGCACAACAACTACAAAATAGATCCTCCTGCTATGTTATGCGAGAGAGTGCTTTTATGTTATACTGAGAGAATGACAACCATTCTCTACGATGATGAGACTGAAAAATTGACTCCGATTAAACACATGGACACTACGATTCGCTGATCATTTAGAAAAAAATACAAAAGTGTGTGAAAAATAATTTAACAGTAGTTTTATGTCAGCTAATTAAGACAAAGATAAAATGAGGACTAGTCATTGTCATTTGATAGGCGTCAGCTTGAACCACCGACAGTGCCTCGGTTTCCACTTGAAGCTTCTCTTGATACCTGGTCTGAGCACCTCCCTAATGGCCACTGCCTCCGCCACTTTGTGCGCACCATTTTTGCCCAAAGAGACTTCATTTCTTCTCTCTTGTAAGGAAAAAAAAAAAAGAAAACTTTTTGCTTATTCTTGATGAGTTGATGGATAACACTTAGCTTGCTCCATTTGCTCTCTCTTCACCCACTCTGTTACATGAAAATGTTTAGTAAACTGCTGCAACCAACAAAACAAAAATTCATAAACAATTATCAGTGACACCCCAAAGTGCTATCTGCTGCAACCAAACAGTGCATCACTCATTCACTTGGATGGTATGATTGAAATTTATAGATTACTAAATGAAGCTCATCCAAGTTAATTGCTCAATTCGACTAATATAATATTGTCTTCATAACTTCAAAACTACCAACGTTCTATATATATATATATATATATATATATATATATATATATATATATATATATTATGAAATTTGGATACTTTAATAAAACAACTTAAAATAACTTCCTCTTATTGGAAGTTGCATTTTATCCGCTTTCAAAAGTCTAATATCAAAATATTTCGATATACTCCTTAAAATAGCAACACCAAACAGCTTTCAGAAAATTATAAGTGTTGGAATAGGAGCTACATGAATGGAGAATGGAGAGAAGCAGAGAGGAACGAGAAGATGAAAAATGGAAATCTGTATTATGCAAAACCAGTACAGAACTTTACAATATAAGGAAGAAGATGAACAGTTATAGAAAGTAGGAGAAAAGACTATAAAAGCCCTATACTATTTATTTTCTATTTATTTTATCCTCCAACACCCCCCGTAAGCTGGAGCGTGTAGATCCTACATGCCCAGCTTAAACACAAAAGGTGGTGAGGTTCACAATCAGTAGCTGCAACTAGTATAGACTTGATGTAATCCTTTTCTTTTCTTGATTATCCAGGCTTCTCATTGAGTCCACCAAGGATGGTAGACCTCCTTATACACCCATTCTTTTCAGACCATCAGATTCTGCCTACACAGATTCTGCCTCCTGCCCCTCTCCACCATATTGTAGAAATCAAGCTGGAAATCAGAAATAAATTGGAGAATGGCAGAAACAGATGTCATTAGAGTAGGCTTTAGTACTGAAGCATCTCCCTGGGTTCCTTTCTTGATTTTATTGGATGTGTCTGCTAATGTCAATGCTGAACTATAGCCAATTGAGCACCATCAGCTATCATCACAATCTCAGCAGCCAATTCAAAAACATGAGTTATTGGATGTACCATGAATGATTCACACCAGTCATGGTACATTCCAAAAGGACCTCTCTTATATATTATAGGAATGGTATCGAGAGAAACAATTGCAACAATGTTCATAACCCACACTTTCAAATCTTTCAATGCAGCCTCAAATCCTCCATAGACAGCATTCATGTCCATGACATTCCGCACAGTAAACCAGTTAATTCCCATTCCATTCAAATATGACTTGGGTCACAACTCGTGTCCAATGTTTATAATCTGTAGCAAAGTCTTCAGGAGCTGGCTTCCCATACACACCTGTCTCAGTACTCAGTAACCAATAAGGTGATTTCTCCAGCCTAGCAGGCCATGATTCTAGCCATTGAGAACCCCTCTCTGATTCAGAAGTTGGAACTTTGTGCATGCAAGCTTGCAAAGGCACATTCCAGGTTCTTTGTTGAGCAACAATTGTATTCACAAACTGATTGTCTGCAGCTTCCATTGATAGAATGGGCCTGCTATGTACAACCACTCTACTTAAATCGGCCTTACAAACACCTCGAAGAACCTCCACCAAATTTTCTGCTGGAAAATCTGGAAGAGCAACATCTAGGTAGCAAAGAGAGATCTGAGGGACACTCGGCACCATACTGAGCTCCTTCTTCACTTCCTCAAACGGCTCAGAAACACCGGTCAACGGCTTGTTGTTCGAGCCCTTGGAAGCACAAACCAGGAGCGTATTTCCATTTCCGGCCTTGGCCGGAAGACATTTCAATGATGAAGCAGAGAAAAACAGGGGACTCGGATAATCCCCATGGGAATTCAATCGGAAATGGAAAATCTCACCACCTCCTATGACAACGAGGACACAACCGCTGTGGCTGGATTGTAGTTCCTCTTTGTGAATAAGTTCCACTGCGGAACGAGAGACACAACTACTGTGGCTGGATTGTAATTCCTCTTCGTGAATAAGTTCCACTGCGGAACAGCTATGGATTTCGCCATAATTGGAGATCCAGCGATCGGAATAGACGGAGCTCCTCCCTTTCGCTGCGGAACGGTTGTGGAGATCGCCTGAACTGGAGATCGACTCAGAATCAACGGAGCTCCTTCCTTCCACTGCGGAAGGGCTAAGGAGATCGACGATGAACAGACTCGGATCGCCTTCCGCTGCGGATCGGCTACGGAAGTCTGCTCCGAAATCAGATTCCTCTCTGGAATCATTGCTGATGCCGATCGAATTGCTGATCGAGCATCGGCTTTGTTGTTTCTACTCTGCGTAGCATTAATCTTCTCCACTGCCTGGGATTGAAGAAGAGCACGGTTGATCGAGTTCCTCTGCGGAACCGACTTTGGAACAATGAACGGTGATTGTGTGACCGGAGTATTAGCCTGCGTCTTCTGATTCACGCCGGCGACAGTAGAGACGGCGACGGTGTAGGATCGCCGCTCTGATACCATGTTGGAATAGGAGCTACATGAATGGAGAATGGAGAGAAGCAGAGAGGAACGAGAAGATGAAAAATGGAAATGTGTATTATGCAAAACCAGTACAGAACTTTACAATATAAGGAAGAAGATGAACAGTTATAGAAAGTAGGAGAAAAGACGATAAAAGCCCTATACTATTTATTTTCTATTTATTTTATCCTCCAACAGTAAGCTCTTTCTGCAAACCAACCAAACACATTAAAAAGAAATTGTACTTTTCGTCCTTAAACTAGAATTGACGTTGCAAACTTCGTCCCATTAAAAACAAAACATTATGGACGAAATTTGCAATGTTGTACAGCTTAGAAAAAAACAAAAAAGTGAGCACCACATATATGTTGTTAAAATGACGAAAAAATATTAACCACCAATGACTTATTCACCAACTATGGCAAAATTATAAATACTCCCAGGAAAGTTAACAAACTCAGATTCCCCCATTTATCGAGTGAAAAAAAAAAAATAAAAAAAAAAAGAATGAAAAGAAGAGATGTCCATCAACAACTTATTCTGAGAAGCAGAAACCATTGCAGTTTACCAAAATATATATAGAATAGTATGCTTTGCAACACAGTATTCTGCAAATTCAAATACCTACCTGCCTAATCCACCAAAGCATCCACAATAAACAAATTAAATGCAAAAACCATTATGAACTCATTCATTCATCACTCTCTTCCTCCTCATCCGACCCCTGCAATTGATAAATTAAGTAAATATGAAAAAAAAAAAAGGTGAACACAGCAGTTAGATAGGTAAGAAAATATGAGATAGAAGTGAGAGGAAACAGATCAGATATGATATGATGGCCGTGAAGAATTAATCAAGTAGCATGCATGAAGTAAGTGCATATATGTTAAATGCCTAAATGGTCACACATATAATATATTAGAGCTGAGGGATAGAAAGAGACCATAATGTTTTTCGAACGAACAAGGAGGGCATTTCCATAGTTGTTGTATTGCTCTTCTTGAATCAACTTGCGGAAGCCAAAACGGAATCCAAACACCAGGTTTACTGAATCAATGCTAGTGTGGTGATATCCGCAAAACCACTAGGAATCTCATGCAAAGAATAGCAATTATGTAACTCTAGACATTCTAGCACAGGGAAATTGTCACCCATAGCATTCCAACATTTCAAACATCTATCTTCAATTACCAATTTTTTCAATCGACGGAACCCTTCCTTGGATGGTTCCCACATTATGTCTTCGCTAGCAACAACATGTTTCAGTTTTAGAACCTCTAAATTCGGCAACATACCAATAAGCCTCATATCACTCCATGCCAAATTAGTCCAGACGAATTTGAGCTTCTTAAGATTTGGTAGAAAATCAGTTGCCCATGAGATGCCGCTACGTGGAATACAGTTGAGATCATACCAATTTTTGATGCTTAACTTCTCAAGCTGCCCCAAATGCACAAAATTGTAAAAACAATCTAGATTCTTTCCATTGCTTTCACCATCATATCCATCAATCCCCAATTTTTTTAAATTTGGAATCCTTGTAAACAAATACTGTGTACAGAGCTTAGGATCCAACCAATATATACTCTCTAAATTTCCATGAACAACTGACAAAGTTCCTAATGAAACAATCCGATTAATGCAAATATTCCTTAATAGTGGCATTTTACCAATTCCAGATGCCTTAGCACAATCCAATGTAATATGATCTCCACAAACAATAAAGCTTTGTATATTCCAATACTCAAAGAGCTCTAAATCAAAATATCTGTTGTTATTAAGTACTAAATTCCTCAAAGCTAAGTATCTCAAATGAATAAGATTTGCGGTCGCATTTAGTACCCCATATCCAAATGAAGACATCTGTTGTTTATTTATTACCCTATGTTCATATGAAGGCATCAATTCTATATCTACTACTCTTAGTAGTTTGAAGTGTGAAATTAGATGTTCCATACGTTCAGAGTAATAAGAGTAAGGGTAGTGAAAGGAATGTGATTTGTGAAAGCACATTCTGGAAGGAAGTAGATGCAACTTTGACGTAGCACTTATCCAACGACAAGACTTCTTGTAAAATGGAAGTTTTTCATCTCCAATGACATTCAAGAGATTTTCATGATGAGCTTCTCTTAAACACAAATCCCGCAACAGGTCATGTATCCTTATTGTCTTCATTTTCCCATTGTAGCTCTGTTTGCTAACAAAAACAAGACTTCTATCAACAAGATCTTGCAAGCATTCCATGGCCACTTCCTCCATATTCCGATGGTCCTCAACCCTCAAAAATCCCTCTGCCGCCCACAACCTAACCAACTTCTTCACGCGGATCTCATAGTCTTCAGGAAAAACTCCAAAATATAGAAAGCAAGCTTTTAAGTGGTGTCGTAATTGGTTGTAACTCAAATATAGTATTCTGGAACATGCATCATTAGAATCATCAATTACATATCTATTCACATTTTTGACAACATTATTCCACTTCTCCACTGCCGCCTCTGTCTTGGAGAGAAGACTAGTTATTACAATAATAGCTAGAGGTAATCCATTACATTTCTTCACTGTGCTTCTACCAATTTGTTCAAACACTGAAAGAAATTCCGTTTGACCAAACACATTGCAGTAGAGATTCCAACTTTCATTGGCATCTAAGAAAGGCATGTTAATGGTAGAGTTATTACCTGAATTTGCATATTCAGCCACCTCCCTAAGCCGAGAAGTCAACAGGATACGACTTCCATTATTATCTTCTGGAAAGCATCTTTGCACACTATCCCAAGCAGTGGTGCTCCATATATCATCAATCACTATCAAATATCTTTGATTTTTCAAGTGTTTACGCAGACTTTCTGCCAAGTTACCATTTGATGTTGCATTAACACAACCAATAAGGCATTGGAGCATTTGTTCCACGTTATACTCTTGAGATACAGCAACCCATGCTCGGATGTAAAAATGATAAGTAATTGATGGATCTTCATAGACTTTGCGAGCTAAAGTGGTCTTGCCTATTCCGCCCATGCCTACAATTGATACAACTTGTAGCTGCTTTGCTGATTGTCGGGTGAGCTGATCCATTATCGTCTTGAACTCCTCATTGCATCCGAACATTCCACTGTCATACTTCATTGGAGCGTTTTTAGAAAATTTACTCACAGTAATATTATTCTCGTGTTCTAAATCAGGTTGTGATGATGTTGAACCATGGAGTAGTCCACTTTGTCGCATCCTTTCACCTTGTGATGGACCCTTTGCAAGCTGCTTTTCAGTTTTAATCTTAATCAACTTCTTCTTGAGGTAATCAGTCTTTTTAACTGCTTCATTGAAGATCCCATGAAGCCTGAGGAGGCAAGCAAGATGCTTCGTCAAACCCTTTGCTGGATAAATGGTAGTCAGCTCCATTTCAATCCTTTCTTCAGCTTCGAACACTGCATCTCTGATCTCTGCCTCTAGATCTTTCATTGCCCCCGCATCATCATAGGCGATCTCAGATTTCTCAAGACTTTCTTGAAGGAAACCAAGATTTCTATGGAGAGAGACCACCTTTTGTTTATAAATAAGAGACAGGCGTGGTTGTGATTGCAAGAAGTGTAGATGGAGTGTTCCTTTAAGCGAAGTTACAGAAGCATAAGCCATTTGAGTCTGTCTATGTCTATGTGGTAAGCTGTTGATCAGAGCAGTACTGAGAAGAAATGAAAGATGTATGTGATACAATTTAGACAGCAATTCTCATCAATGCTAAACTATAAACAAAGTAAAACAACCATATTTTAAAATTAGCGGGGTAGTTGGTTAGTGTTTTTTCTTTTGTTTTTTTAAGGCTTATTGGGAAAAGAATCCAAACTTCACATTTATATCAAAAAATTTAAGTTTTGATAATTTAATACTCAGTATCAAATATTCGTCTCTAATAACAATTATGTCCAATTATTTTAATTAAGGGAACAATGCAATTTTAACCCCTTAATTTTTCTTTGGTAGCAGTGGCTTTAGTCCCTAATTTTTTGTTGTTACAATATACACCCTTAACTCTTTAAGAAGTTAATTGTAGTTTGAATTGAACCCATAAAACAACAAAACAATTAAATTCTATTAAAATTATACATAATACATAAGTATTTTAATAATTTTTATTAATGTTTCTTCTTTAATTATAATCTTGTTTAGTTTCAACATTTCATTTGTAAAATAAAAAAAAAATGATTTTAACATGATCATGTAGGAGAAATAGGGACAATGTGACACCATTGAAAAGGAACATTTTAGGCAATAAAGTTGTCAAATCCCGATCTATTCTGCACATGAGACGGAATTGTTTAATATTAGTGGGAGGACTTCCATCAACAAGTTCATGCAAGCATTGACTATCGATCAGATCAGAGTGATACAATTTAGTGCACTAGCTAGCTACGATGGAATTTCTGAATTTTCCTTGTGGCACGCAAATCCTCATACAAATAGCTTTTGTCATAATGCTTTCCTGTTACAATCCACGGCAACACCAAGGTAGAAGAAAATATTTTTCTTTCTGAGCTTCTTTTATTTATTTATTATTATTATTATTATTTTTTTTGGCTACAACCAAGAATAGAATATTCTTCTCCGTCGTAGAATCCTATGTAGGTGGAGAAAAGATTTAGGGCATCTTATACAAGGAAAATTGTGTTATGGGTTATAACCACTTTGACCAAACCAACTGTAGTCCGTGGCGGATCCAGAAAATTATGTGAGTGGGGGCGTACTTAAAATGACTTTAGAATTGTCAACGATTGTTAGGGTCTGTTTGGAAACCCGGAAAATGACTTCTGGAAAATGAGTCATTTTCCAGAAGTCATTTTCCTTTCCTGTGTTTGGCTGCACAATGGAAAACTGTCTTTTGGTGTTTGGTTCATTTTCCAGAAAATGAACAGAATGACATACTTATTTTTATTAAACATTTTAATTATTATATACTAAATAATATATTTTTATTTTTGTTTGTAGAATATAACAATTTTTATTACAAATTATATGCAACATAAATTTTGATTGTATTTAATTCTAATGCCATTGCTCTCTATCTTTCTAGTACTAAAACTATTGTCACAATATGACAATTTGAAATCACAATTACATGTTAGAAACAGCATAAACGCATAAATAATCAAGTCTTGAAAATTAAAGTCCACAAAGTGTTAGGATCCAATATAACAAGTACTAAGATCCAACATAACCAATCCATGTCTTAACATGCATGTTAACCAACAAAAAAGACATACATGATTTAATCCGTAGAAGAAATAAATTTCTCAATCCATTTCCTCTTCAAACTTGCATTCTTCGCATTGAAAATTCGCACCTGAACCTCATTTGTCATCAAGTATTCAAATACCTTACATAGGTCATCCTCATGAAAGCCATCACCTATGCTCATCACATCCGCAAACAACTGATTTTCATCAATACCGGTATTCAAAGATTTAATTGTCGTGGCAATGCTACCGAGCTGTTCAGCAATTTCATCCACCTTCAAGTCAAGTGTCTTTCGCTTACGACCGGATCTTTGAGACGACGCAGTTGATGCAGATGTTTTTCCCTTACTAATTTCTTCATCAATGTTATCAGGCAGGGTTTCATCAATGTTATCAGGCAATATTTCATCATGAGGACCATCTAAATTAACATCTGCAAAAGACTTTGCAAACCGTCCTATGGCACAATCTCTGCCAATGACAATGGACATCTCATTATAGAAATCAATCTTCCTGTTTAACAATGTTTCATACTTGGGAGTTGCCTATAAAAAAAAAAAAACATGAGATCTTTTCTAATTAAAAAAACATTATTTATGCAATAGTCAAATTATGATACTAAAATATTACCGTGATAAGCTCCATATACGGGGCTTCATCACATGTGACCATTTTTAAGTTATCATCCCATCCAAGACCACTCATGTTCTTCAGCTTCAGAATCATCATCCAAGTGTTCTTCACTGTTTTCAAGTGATTCTCAACATGTTTGAGTTCACATGCAACATTAAATTGTTCGGATATGGCCGTTGCAACACGATTGAATGAAGAGGCTTTAAAACTATTAGTTGGATTATTAGGATTCCTAGCCTCTTCAGCTAATATCTTTAAAAATACGCCCTCCATTGGCTTTGTCCACCGAAATTGTTTAGAAGTGGCAATTCCCTTTCCCTTATTCATGTTGCTATAATAACATAAAAACAATAACAACTAATGTCAACCAATAACAACAAAGCATACTCAAGTACAACTAATAATATCCAATAACAAAGTATAATCAAGTACACAACAATAAGAAATGTTCAACAACTAATAATATTCATAAACAAAGCATACTCAAATACATAACAATAAGAAACTAGACTCTAATTCCTAATAATAAAGTCATTCCACATTTGTTCTGCCATCTCATCCCTTTTTGTATTCCATTATCTAGCTTCTTGTCTTTCTTCTGTTTGGGTATGAGTTAATGGTAACAAGTTATCGTCATCAACATCAACTGTTGCTTGATTCAACTCATCATTAGGATCAACACCCATAATATGGTTATGAAGTATACAACAAGCTAAAACTATATCCACTTGTGTCTGTAATCCCAAAAAGGTTCAGCATCTAACACACGGAACTGTTTCTTCAAAATTCCAAACACTCTCTCAATAGATGTACGTAAATACGAATGACGAAGATTGAAAAGTTCTTTCTTATTCTCAGGACGATGAGCACTAAACTCTTTCAAATGGTATCTAATGCCACGGTTTGGAGTAAGTATTCCATTCCGTATGCCATATCCAGCATCACCAAGATAATATTTCCCTACAAGTTTACATAATTTGATTACTTATATGCAATAACGAACAACACAATGTAAAAATTGATTACATAATTTTATTTTATACCTTCTGGAATTTTAAATTTATTTGGACGTGTGAGTGCATCATTCAAGACTCGAGAATCATGTGCACTACCTTCCCACCCAGCTAGCACATAACAAAATCGCAAATCAAAAGTGACAGCAGCAAATACATTTTGTGTTGTTCCACCCTTACGTCCGCGAAAGCTTCCTTGCATATTAATTGGCACGGATGCACGAATATGAGTTCCATCTATTGCTCCTAAGCAATCTTTGAAATATGGATAAAATCTTGGATTGCTAATGATTTCATGAGGAGTTACTTCACCATCCGGTAATACTATGAGGTTCGTATACAAAGATAAAATGGCTCTCAAAACACTTCTAAAGTAATGATGAACTGTCTCAATTGACCTCTAATACCTTGAACCAATTACTTGAAAGCGTACATTGTGACCTATTATATGTAAAAATATTAACACTTGTTCCTTAATACTTACGGCTCTAGTTGTGCGTAATAAGTTCTTAGTAGCAAAAATGTCACACAATTTATAGAAGGCAATAGGTCGCATTCTAATAACGGTAATGCATTTGTTATCACCCTCACACAAGATACTATTTATGTAACTCTCTCGCTCATCATCTCTATTGAGGATGTCATGTTCTATTTGGTTTGTATTCCTAAGTTGTTGCAATAGAAGGACTCCCATAGCTAGTATAGCACTTGCTGCACCCATAACAGTTGCACGCACATTATTTCTATCCATCTATACAATCAAAATAATATGACAACAAATAACAACAATTAAAATTAACACATAACCACAACTTAAGCAAAGCATGTTATTATATAATAAGTAAAAAAAAAAAATACTAGCAACAAGTTCACGGTTTGGCATAAAAAAATAAAAGCAAAAAAAATTGCAACTGGTTTCGAAACCAATTGGTTTCCGCATCGGAAACCAGTGACTGGTTTTCCGCATCGGAAACCAGATCTTGTTTCCGATGCGGAAAACCATACTCACAGGTTTCCCAAGCCATAATATTTGGAAAAAAAAATAAAAATAATATACCTTGTAGCTTTTCTAGTGTTGGTGAAGCTTTTGTGGATTGTTGGAGGAGATGTGTTGTGTAACACCCCGTGTTACGACCCCTAAAACCATTTAACTAATTAATCAATAGCCCAAGAGAAAGAATAAATTATAATGATTAATTAGGGAAAAAGGCCCACCATAGTCCATGGGCCCTCATATATAAACCCAACCCCTAAGCCCAATCCTTAGTTCAAAAAGGAATAGAATTAGCAAACCTATAATATTAGTTCCTAATTAGGACTCCTAAATATATAAATAGGGGACTTAAGAGGCACCTAGAACTCCCCACCACCCCAAAAGAGCTCCAAGAATCCCCTTAGGAGAAATCAAGAAAGCAAGAAAGCTTAAAGAAAGATCCTTCATAGCCAAGGAATTAATTAAGGCTAAGAGGTAACCCATGTCTCAACAAAACCTATTTTCATAGCTATGACTCCCCCTTAGGGTTTCCCCCATATTATTGTGTATTGGCGAGATATGAAGATTATTATTGATGTTTGATGTGATGATCCCATGAGGGATCTTGATGATCTTGGTATTGGGAGATTCTTGATGATTATGGAATTCTTGATGATTATATAGAGTTCTTGATGATTATGTGTTGTTCTTGATAATTGTGTGATGCTCTTGATGTTTATGTGTTATTCTTACCGAATCTTGCAATTAAAAGACGAACCGTATACT